TATGTACACAAAGCACCGCTAATTAGTTCGTAACGCTCACATCGACACTACTGTCATTTACACAATGTACATGTGTGGGTAATTTCATATTACTGTGTATAAAAATATTCGTCCACCACGTTCACATTGGTATTTTCATTCTTGTGTCGGTATACGTATTTTTATAATTTAATGCATGGGTAAGGTTAAAACTATTTACAATCATTGATATGACCCGACATTTTCACTGTAATTATCGTAGTGCTCGTGGTCGATTGGTTAATGAGTACGCTTTTATCGTCTTTCAAGGATCAATGATGATGTGGGTTCTATTCCAGCTAAAAGTTTTTTTTTATTTTACCTTGTTGTTTTTCTTATTTATTTTTTTTTTGTTTTTTGTCATATAATATAAATATCAGGCTATAAAAGAAGCAAATCAGTCGGTAAATAAAACAATACTATTTTTTATTAAAATTAATTTATTAATTATACAAATATGTGGTTTTATATTCAATATTTATATCTAATAATTAATTATATACCACATGTTAACTTTAAAGTTCTTCCAATCATTCTAAATTATTCTAAATAATAAATAACTAGAACTAAAATATAAATAAAGGATATTATAGGTATAAATAAATCTAAAGTATTTACTATTAAAATTAACATAAGATTTAGAAAAATAGGATAGGAAAAAAAGAAAAGATTTAATTGTTTCTAATTTCACATTTCAAATATTTGATTAATTAATACTAAAACAACATGTGAATGCTGGAATCGATCCGGTGGCACTTTACTTGACCACTGGAGGCGATAACCATTGCGCCAAGCGCGCCGTAGATGAGAACATCGAAATATTGTATATCATTCAGTAACATAAAAATACAATGAGAATGCACTATATTTATATAAGTATTGTATTGCTCGATCGTTCATTATTTTTGATTTCGATTTATTCAAAGTTTGTTATGAGTATTTTTATCTTTACCCTCGTTTTTATTTAAACTTATTTACTAAAATATTACGTATACCGACACAAAAATGATATGTAATACCAAGATGTGTGTGATAGAACGAATGTTTCTATACATATCTATTGATATGAAATTACCCACACATGTTCACTGTGTAAATGATAGTAATGTCGATGTGTAGCGCCTCGAACTAATTAGCGGTGCTTTGTGTACACCCGGTCATCAATAACCCGTGATAGTTATATAACTTTACATAAAATGATGTGCTTCTGCTATATATCTCTTCACATTGTAGATAGGTTGTAGATCTATCATAAGTGAGATGGTCATTCTCATCGTCAGCCTCTAACTGTCCCAATGCTGAGAAAAGGCTCCATCTATTAGATTATTTTAAAACAAAACACACGCGTTTTTATTTTCTTACAGAAACGAATACTTTCGACGATATATTGGTTTGAAATGTCGCATGACGTCACTTCTATGTACATTTTATACGTTTAAAATATATTTTTTACGTCTAAAACGTTTTAGGCCCCACTCCTAAACTGTGATTCGTTTTATACAACAAAACAAAAAAATACGTGTCTAATATTTTTTCATTACCTAACTGACGGACTAATTAGATTTTTAACTTTGATACCCTGTCGTCATCCCTATTGTGGGCTATGAAGAACCTTTAATTGTGCTTCTATCTATTCCAGGGCATATTCTCCTACCTCCACAACGCCAATTACTTCGTGAAGACGGTCCTCAGGTCTCTAGTCAGCATGTACAATCCGGAGCCATTCGTCCAAGTCTCCATATATGATTATCTTTGGAACTTCACCGATCCAGTTCTGGAAATGTCCAGGAGTTTGGTGCCTGGTCTGGTGCCAGTTAGCAATACTGGAATGTTGGCTAGGGTGAGTCTGATTCTTAGGTTTCTTTTTTAATTTTGGACGAATTTGTGTTAGATTTAGGACGTTCTATTGTTCTAAAGAAGGCCTCATTATACATAAGTAAAATAAATTTTACTGCCTCGACTGTCGAACAAACGGTGTCGGACTCTCGGGCTCAATTCCTGGGTCGACTCAAGTATTATTGGGGATTTTCCTGGTTGTTCCTGTGACAGACTCAGCCCTAATGAAATGACCAATTAACACACATTGTATACGAGCGTCTCTGCCTACTCCTTCAGGGAGAAAGGCGAGATTATGTTTATTAGATTAATATCGTGGTCTTTCTATGTTGACTTTAGTATGTTTTATCAAAAGTAGAATTTAGGTATACTTATGTATTGGCATTTATATCACATCTACTTACTTGGCATTTATTTCCAAAATATTCCTTTTCCAGGTATACGCAGACTTCACGGACGAAATGACGGTGAAGATTGGACCCCAGTGGGGTCACAAGGAATTCTTCCAAATAGATCGGTTCAGGGGACAACCGCAAATTCCTGGATTTGATCCTGATGTGAGTATTTCTAGTAAAAGCGTAACCCAATCAGGTCCTCCACTTCCTTCCACTGAAGGGGGTTATTGCCTATTGGGCTGTTTCGGTTTTCTGATAATTACTCACAGTCCACAGCCCTACTAAGGGCATACTTAGGAGGTTTTCCTATAATCTCCATGCTTGAGAAGCGAAGTCGTGGAGATCGATATCAAGACTATGATTAATGTTATTTGTTTCTGCGTTCCAGGTATGTCCAGATCGGATATTTGGCTCGACTGAGGGTGTCATGTACGCGCAGCGACTGACCAAGCAGGATGTTTTACAATATTGGCGGAAGACTGTTTGCAAGCTTATGCCTTTGTATTTTGATAGTAAGTGCTTACGAATTCGTTCGTATGTAAAACCAGATTTTATATTTGACTAGCTTTTACCCGCGGCTTCGCTCGCGTCACAAAAGGATAAAAAGTAGCCTATGTGATATACATACCAATACACACAGCGCCATCTATACCAATACTTTTGTTTACCCTCGGGAATATCATTTTTTTCCGGGATAAAAAGTACCTACCCTATTATTTAATCGGGACTTCGAACTTTACGTCTGCAAAAATTCAAAGCAATCGGTTTAGTAGTTACTGCGTGAAAGCGGAACAAACAAACAAACTCACTTTCAGATTTATAATATTAGTATAGTAATAAAGTAATGATGGGTTGACGTTTGACCACTATCTCGCGTGGCGGTGCACGATGATGCGGTCTACGATGGAGCACGTCGTCCCATAAGCAAACTATTCACTAGGGCCTTGAAGACACCCAGGTTATACCCTTCCGGAAACAAGTCTGGCAAAGAATTCCTCTCCTTGGCAGTACGCACAAGGAAGCTTGGTACTCACAAGGTTGGTCTACCACACGGTTGGAGTGGTGGCTGGACAACTGGCTGCCGCGCAAAGTACCTCGGGTTGATTTCCCGCACGGAGCTCTTTGTGTGACCCACAGATTGTTGTTCCGTGTCTGAGTGTCATGTGTATGTGAACTTAATGTTTGTAAACGCACCCACGACACAGGAGAAAATCCTAGTGTGGGGTAACTTGAATTTGTCACTTAACTTTACATGACAGTCTATTGCTGGACTGTCGTCCGCGCTTGGTAGACGTGTTTGGGAGGGCAGTTTAAACGGTCCTGGTTTGTCAAAGACGTTTACTATCCCTCTAGTCAAAAATCGTTTCAAAAACCCTTTAATAGGCTCTTTCAACATCCACGAAAAAATGGCAGTAGCGACAAAAATACAATCCAGTCTGCTGTCACGGGTCACCACACCGCATATCTAGTAAACCCTCTACCTACTACTTCAAAGATACCAGATTTGATTTGACATAACATAACAACACACCTTTTATCCCCGAAGCGGAGGCAGAGCATATTACGGCACTTGCCACTGTACAATGTAACACCCACTCTTCACTATTTATGTTATGAGTCCCTTGTAAGAGGCGGTGAGTCTATTGCCATATACTGAACACAATTTTACACTCCGTGATACTACTGAGATTTGTTTGCACTAATACTTTGACCGATCCGGAAATCGAATCCGAGACTCTGCCTGGCAGCACTTGCGGTCGCAAGGAGGCAGACTTGATTTTGCCTGACTTGAATCTTCTAATAAAATTCATTATTTCTTCTTCCAGGCGAGCTGACAATGTTCAACGTGCCTCTGTACCGCTACAATCTATCAGAAAACGCATTCGATCGAGTTACGAATGGCACAGACTGTTACGATACTGTGCCTAGCCTTCACCCAGGCCTTAGTGATACATCGAAATGTTATTTCGGTAAGAATAAATACTTCTATTTTTTATACCACGACGGTAGCAAAAGAGGACACGGCCCACCTGATAGTACGGTTACCGTGGGCTATGTACGCTTGTAACACTTGGGGCATTACATGCGTCTTGCCGACCCTTAAGAAACGTATTCACCCCCCTCTTGAAGAACCCCATGTTGTAGCCCACTGAGAAAACCACGGCAGGGAGTTCATTCCACTATCGAAGGGTCTGTGGGAGGAAATTCCTCTGATACCTGTACGGGACCATTGGGGCTCCAATTACGTGTAAGCGTGAACTCCTTCATCCAATACTTTGAGTTTATCATGAACAGCTTTTTTGTTGTATTGGTACAAATGAGACAATTGATCCACAAGAGAGGAGTTAGAGTATGCAGGCCTTTAAGACCCTGTCGAGGAGGTCGCAGGAAAATTGCCATAAGTACCGAGACGGACCTAGTACGGAGTAGAAGTTGATAAAAAGATGGTTTCTAGTCAGTAAGGTTTTTGGAGTGATTTGAAGATTTTTTATGGGAACGAGCAGACGGATCACCTGATGGTAAGCAATCGGCGTCGCTCATGGACACTTGGAACACCAGAGGCGTTACAAGTGCGTTGCCGTACATTTGGAAATAAGAAAATTGAGGGTTGTTGGGGATTCAGGGATTGGGAAGATTAGAAAAGGGAGGCGGGGCGTGTAATTGGGACTTCGGTAACACATCGCAAGCGTAGTTTGACGTCGGTTTTTTGTGGTTTCTGTGGTGTTCTCTCACACTGAAGGACATTTTCAAAACCATAGAGTGATCAGAAGCTTCATGTCGTACCAAAGCATGACCATCCCACTTAAGAGCATTATCATTATATCATAGTAATAACGATTAGATAATAGACATTTATTTTTAAATATTACGTTTCCTGTTTTACAGATTTTCCAATGGTGGCCTCATTCCCGCATTTTTACACTGGTGGCATACCAAAAGACAAGTTCGTGACGGGCCTCAAGCCGGACAGATACAAGCACAACTCATTTGTTATTTTGGAACCGGTAAGTGTATTATCAATGTGACTTTTTCCGAGTTACATGTACTTCCTAAGATTATTTAGACACCGCTGACAAACGGTAAGGAAAACATCGAGAGGAAACCTGGGCTTATAATTTCTAATTATAAGTTTGTAGTCACCAACCTGCATTGAGCAAGCGTGGTGATTAATGCTCAAACCGTCTCCGTGTGAGAAGAGGGCTTTGCTCAACAGTGGCCACTTATATTCTGGCTGTTGGTGGTAAGGCAATTAGCGCTGCTCTTGAACACCCGCAATAACAAAGGAGGTACAAGTGCGTTTCGAGGCTCACAAAGTTTACTCAAACGGCGAAATACATCTTTGCTACAGGCACCTCACTCAGTAGCATTTTTTACGGGATAACCCGGTAAACGAGCAGACGGAACACCTGATGGTAAGCAATCGGCGCCGCCGATGGACACCTGGAACGCCAAAGGTGTTGCAAGGCTATTCCCGACCTTTCGGGAGTTGGAATTTGAGGATTATTGGAGGTTCAGGGATTGAGGAATGGGGGGAGGGATAATTGGGCCTCCGGTATCCTCACACGACGAAACACAACGCAAGTGTTGTTTCACGTCGGTTTTCTATTCGGTCGTGGTATCACTCCGGTCGAGCCAGCCCATTCGTGCCGAAGCATGGCTCACCCACACTTAAAAATGTTCTAATTCAATCTATTTTCTTCTTTCAGTACACTGGTACGCCCTTCGAAGCAGTAGCGAGGATGCAGAGCAATCTACTGGTCCACGATCTTACAGGATTTCAGGAGAAGTTCGCCAACGTATCCAATTCCGTGATACCGCTATTTTGGGCTGAATACGTAAGTCATCATGGTGTTTGTCCTTCTGACACATTCCACAATCACACATGTTTTTTTTTTGAGGGGCAAAGTCATCCTATGACTTCTCCCGCCCAGGTGAGGCGATAGGGAGTGTCAGACTCTTACTGACTAAAAACCACCCCGTGCCTTCTACTGCACTTCGAGCCGGAGCCTCGGTAGCCCGTTAAGTCTTCCGCGGCTCCGTAATAATCACACATCACATTTTGTAGTAGATAGTAGAAATCAAAATGTATGGGGATGACACTGACAAGTGTCAAAATTTACGTCAATTCCATATAATTTAGTTTTGTTCTACAAGTAGACAAGCGCTAAATGGCATTTGGCTACTGCTACTACCTACTATGCATTTGCACGTAGGGATAATAGGACTCTCCATATGCATCTATAAGCTAAGATATAAAAATCTGTTCGTTATTTGTTTCAGCACCAAGAGGGCCTGCCATCGAAAATAAGAAAAACTGTATATTTCTCAATAGTTATTCTACCGCCATTATCAATAATTATTTCAACTACCATGCTCTTAATTGGCATATACTTACTCACTAAACTCATTTATTCAAACAATTTAGAGAATGATAGTCTAAAATCAATACTTATATTTAAAAGTAAAAATAATATTGCAAATAAAAATAAAATGCTGGCTTTCGAAAAAGAAACGTTTTTGAAAACCAGTTAGATTAATTTTTACAATCGATTGATTATTCGATTGTATGTATATCGTAGTCGATATTTTTATAGAACGAAAAATTGCTATGAGTAAATGCAAAAGCTTGCAGTGTTTAGATAAATTTAGATATGAGTTACTTCATAAGCAAAGATTAGTTATTAAATAATTATAAAATATACTGGGCAGACTGTCAATGAAAGCAATAAATTCGTTCTTTATAAATATTGACTCGAAAATTATTTAATAAGTTTTATATTAAATAAAAGGGAAATGGTAAACAATGTAAATAAAGACTGAATATCATATATTTCATGACATGGCCAAAGCACACACGAAATTTTAATGAAATTGATTTTAATTTTAAAAATAATGTTTAACTTTTCCTTCTTTTTATCTACCTCAGTGTTACAGTAGAAAAAAATTTACCTACCTAAAGTAACAATTTCGACTCTTATTTTGTTTATTTTTCTTTTTGTAATTAATATGTAAGTACTTATTCTTGATTTATTTTAAATACTTATTATTTTGTAAGTCTCTTAGCCGAAACTCTTATTTTTTAATCTATTGAATACATTATGAAGGTGTAAGCGTATATTTTAAAAATATATTCGGGGTTAGTTTGTAGCTGTGATTGTTCCTAATTTAAAATAGTTGCAACAATTTGCTCACTGTTAGCTTTAAGATAATTATAGTAAACAGTAAATAAAGACATTTTATATATTACATTGTTTTATTTTTAATGATCATGTTTGCTACATTTTATTACCTTTAATAAACAACAAAACGTTGTGTGACATTTAGTTAAACAGATACTTCCGGTTTCATTGTACAATTATCTTAGAACGATTACTTATGATTAATTAGACATGTACATTGAGCTTTTCTCTTTTAAAAATTGCACAAATATACATGGATAGTCAAAAACACTTTTCTTTGGCGCTCAATTATTCAAAAGTAATGATTTTGACTACACAATTGACAATGACAATAACTGTCAATGTCACACTCTGTTACACCAACCGCCATAACGCGTAAAAAAAAGTTTTATAAAATTTCGCGGGTCTCAGCAAATTTTTCTTTCCTTAACGAAGCATTCTTGTATTCGTATTACTATGTTTCTTTTCGCTACATTTTATGAATATAAATACTTTCTACGGCTTATGTACCGTCTATTAAGTTTTTTAAATTAATTCCACCGCTTTAAAAATGAATAATAAGAAATGTGTAGGTTCTAATAACGGGTGGTTGTTGTGCGAGTCCAAGAGTTTTCCTGGCAAGCTTTATTACTTCAATGTTCGTAATGGAGACGCCGTGTGGACTTCCAACGACTCTGATGTATGTATAACTTAAGTTTTAATACTTTTTAGTTATGTCTATATTAGATCGAATGTGTTCTCAAAGATTTATAGAGTTACGATTTTGTTGTGTGAAATATGTTTAATATTTTCTTTAAAACGCATATGATGTATATTATAGCGCTTTATTACACTCCTTAGAGATAGTTAGCTGACTCTCATTGGACATGCAAGACAGCAAATGATTTGCTTACAGTGATAAAAAGAAACATTACTCAAAATATTTTCTGCGAAACTTTACCTATAATAACTAGATAAATTCGCCAACTTCTCATACGAACTTGTAAATCATGTTACTTTCCTTCTGGTGTTACATTTCAATTGCAAATGTATTAAAAACGATTGCCAGTAGATATTTGTTGACAAAGAGTTTTCGTTTCACACAATCATCAAATCAAAAGCCTACAAGTGTCCACTGCTGACCTAACAAGCTTTGAGCATTAACTCGTCGAGTACCGGTTTTGCAGACACAATTATAGAACAATAGGTTGCGGTCACCGGTGACCGCTTGGTATTTGACAGTTTAATCACCACATTTCCTGAATATGGGTATTTCAAACTTAAAATTAAAAATTATAAGCCCGGGTTTCCTCACAATGTTTTCCTTTACCATTCACCAGTGGTGTCTTAATTAAGCCTTTGACTACCGGCAGAAAACTGTTGAAGGCAAATCCTCCACCAGTCACTGGTGACCTATGTGACATGTTAATCTTAAAAAATACATACATGCAACTCGGAACAAGTGAGATTGGTACTTGCCAAGAGGCCTTCGGTCCATGGCCACGGCCAGTGGCCACTTTTAGGCTGTTCACGTGATTTGTATGATGTAATATTTAGTTGTGTAGGTAATTGAATGAGCAAATAGCTTTACTTTTTTTTGTTAACGTTCAAAAGTGCCTTCCTGGTTTTATTGAAATAAATTATTTTGACTTTGAATTGGTGCACCTATGTTATCTTAAGCACAATTTAAAACTACACTATGCAATATTGTGTAATTTAAAATTCTATTGTTGAGAATTTCATTTTTATATTCTATTTCGAGGTGCTGTCGTACCATCCTACTGTCCTCTACTGTCTTGGGTACTCTTGAAACCAATTACAGTGTCAATGCAATTTCAATCCAATAATCTCAGTAATTATTCAATGTCAAAACTATACAACCCTTATTGTAACTGTTAGAATAGCATTCCGAGTACGGATTATAAAGCCAAACTCAATACCAGTTACTTCATTCAATATCCACACAATATGGATGCTTTGGGCACTAGTGTTGCAATTCAAGAGTATGAAATTTCACAATACCAATGTCGATCGATTGGAATTGGATTCAAGAGTAAGCCCCCTGGTATTTTACCACAGATAAAGAGAAAGATTTGATTTTCATTTTCATTAATTTATTTAACTTTTTTACTGAAAGGACCAATATAATCAAAAAAATTTACTAAAACATCATATAATTTGAAACTTCCAGACAACAATTAAAAAGAACAACAGCTTTGCGGAAAACATTCTGGACAAATCACACAAGTATCCGGAACCAACAACATTACCAGACGACCATCCAATAGCGTACCATAAAATTGGCACAAATATTAAACCGGAGATCCTTACAAATACGCCATCGACTCACTTGCAACAACCTATATTTGGGCAGCCTGCGTACCCTTTATGCACACCGAATAGGGACACGAAAATAACTAAAGTTTTCTGGATGCCCGTACAAGTACCGATGCCAGTCTGCTGGAATGTGGAATCAAATAAACCGATGTCTGATAAAATCACCCAGACTTTTGAGTGGCAACAGGGCCAACAAGATATACTAGTTCAAAGTTGTAAGGTACCATTGTCAAAACGGTTCGTTAATAACCAAAGAAATGTCAAATCTACAAATTTTGAAACGTCAACACCTATTATGATAAGTCAAACTTCAAAACCATTCGATGAATCTCCTCCTACTGTATTTGAACCAAAGTCTCCGGATATAATGAAGAGCAAAGGAAAACCAGTCTTTGTATTTGGTGATAAGTTTGAAAATGCTAACTCTGAAATTGAGGAGGTACTTGAAAAACAGGATGTTCTGAAAAACTTAGACAGTAATGATTTAAGGTTTCATTTGTTAGCTAAAAGGAAGAAGTCGGTTGATCAAATATTTGAGACTGCAGTCGAGAGTGAGTATATTTAGTTACTTTATATATATTTTTTTTTCTGATGTTTTAGTTTATACATAGTTTATTTGTTTTTAATAAAGAATTTAAATTAAATAAATATATACAACTTAAAATATAAATAACTAAAAACTAAAATATTTACACCTTAAAAAAGTAGGTAATAATAATAAAAATGCCTGATACAGAAGGCAGTTCTTCTAGAAACGGCACGTATCGTGAGGTTTCTGTCTCTGAAGCCCTAACCACCGGTAATTTGGACCATGATCCCACTACTGGTCGGCTCCTATTTTTATATTTTTAAATATTATTTTTTATTTTGTAAGTAGTATTTAAAAATGT